GGTCACTTCTTAATTAAAAAGTGCAGTAGTATGTTCAGATAAAAGCAACAAAACATTTTCATAATCATAACATATAGAATTTTTTAGCGACATAATATTTTCCATATTCATAAAATTGCGACTGTTATAAGTTTGTGTTTATCTAATAGTGATGATACCAGTTGTTCGCGAGGAGATCTTGTCCGGAAAAGTGCCGGTTTTATGGTGCTAGGCCACTGAGATATCATGCTACATGTCATGAGATATCACGTTTAACCCCTGGATACCCCATCCTACACAGTATATTGACTCAGAGGCAACCAGTGTGTGTTTGCTTTCATCCCCTTAATGCCGAAGTCCAGACAAGGTACCATCTAATAACGTCCTTTGGTTTAACGCAGCCTGAGGATCGAACCACCAACTTTCCTCTCTCCGGGCAGACGCTCTATCCTCTAGACTACAAAAAACTACCTCTCTTATATAAAAAAAGTCTTTTGACATATCGTTTCTCCCATTTAGGATACAACAACTGGCCTCTATGAAGATGCCAATGAAGCGACGACCGTGATAATAAACACAAGTGAAAGACGTACTGTTACAGTGTGACATTGTGACTAGTGTTGTGTGTGAAGCTAAGATATTGCCTCTGTGTAATTATGGAATAATTAATTGTTTGAGTGATATTTACTATAAAGTTAACAGGCGAGGAACAGGCATAAACAGGCGAGGAACAGGCATAAACAGGCGAGGAACAGGCATAAACAGGCATAAACAGGCGAGGAACAGGCATAAACAGGCGAGGAACAGGCAAGGCACGGAGTGTTTGAACGTCATTGGACGAGGCTGCCAACTTACAATAGCCGAGTCCTCCTTTAACATCGTATGGCAAAGAGTAGTGAAATTTCGTTCGGAATAAGCTTTATGTTGTACTTGCTACACTGGTTTAACATAGACCCCTATGAAGAGAAGGATACAGCCAATCCACGTCGCAAGAGCAGTGCTATCTGCAATCTTAGATGTGTGTACTGTTCCTTGTTTCCTATCAGACAACTAGAGGACCGCCTCCGTGGTCTAGTGGTAGAGCGTCCGCCCGGAGAGGGGAAGATCCAAGGTTCGATCCCCGGTCGCGTCATACCAAAAGACGTTAAAAGACGGTACTTGTTGTTACCCTGCCTGTCGCTCGGCAATAAAGGGCTAAAACAAGGACTGGTCGGCTCGGAGTCGACCCGCATGTAGAAACTGCGGAATTCATATAAACTGTATCTCAGGGGGCTAGCACTATAAAATCAGCATCAGTCCGGACTAGTACAAGCAGACACACACACACGTACAAGCACGTCGCTTTATAAGTGCAATGATCTTGGGCGCGACGGTAAAACCCATTTCACCTCAACTTCACCTATACCGTCAGGGAATGCATGCATACATGTATAAACTGCGGAATTCATATAAACTGTATTCCAGAGGTTAGCACTATAAAATCGGCATTAGCCCGGACCAGTACAAGCAGCCGCACATACACACACGTGCCTGCACGTCGCTATATAAGTGCAATAATCTTGAACGCAATGTTGAACCCCATTTCACCTCACGTCACCTCCGACATCTAGTGGTCACTAATACATAGCTACTATTCACTCCTTCGTAACGCTGATTTTGCACAAGCGCTGTTGGGGTACAACGTTGAGTGCAAGCTGTAGGTGCCTCATGGTAATTGCGGAGCAGCACAAAGCTACGATTTCATAGCTGGAATATTTCTGATTCTCTCACGCTTCCATATTCACACGGGATAGATGCTATATAAATGTTATGACAACACTTAATCTGTCCTCTCGTCGAAAGGGGCAACACGTACTTAAAGATATGAAAGGATGCGGTTATATCATTTATTACAGAAATAGGGGTAGGTGCATTATTACCACAAGCACAAGGAGAACATTAAAATGATAACGGTACATTTATAACGGTAACCGCGCCGAGCTCAGAGAGCATTGGCAATCTGTATTTGGACCCCCCTCGCTGCTGTGCTGAGTGATAAGCCATGATGACAGCGACAGTGAATTGTATTGTTGTATTAACTGTTATTTTACTATCGCACGCGTTTCCAGGTACGTCATACTTATACGTTTCTTGCATATATTTGGAGCATCGCTTGGTTTGTCTAGGGCTGGATCGAATCAAATGATATTTGATTCCAGTCGTTTAAAACATGACATTGTTTATGTGCAAAGTACTATTTGTCCTATTTAGTCAATCTGGCGGATAATTACTACCCAGATCCTACAATTCTACTTGTACTCAGACTGCCAACGTTACTTTTGAAAATTAGCCAGAAACTAATTGATGCACAAACATTGCTAATTGCGAAAGATACATGTTATGTTAATATTGACTTCGTGCTCATTTAATGTCAATGATATAAAATGTCAACGCAAGAGCATAACTCGATACAGCACATGATATGTCAATGAAAACATCTTTGAGAAATGAAAAAGGTCTGCGTGTGAAAAAAATAGTTTTTCTCTTCTTTCTTTGTTGTTAATTAATGTTTTTATTGTAAATAAGAATATTTTGTTCATCTATTGGAAAAGCGGAGTTAACAAGTGATACATTGTGCCCAGTCCAATACATATGAATACAATACAGTAAACTACTTTTATAACGAACACGCTTATAACGAACTGACGGATATAACGAACTTACTTTTTTGTCCGACTATTTGCTGTAGTTATGTTGTATATATGCTTATAACGAACTACGGTTATAACGAACTAAAATAAGTGGCCCCATTGAGTTCGTTATAACCGTAGTTTACTGTAGGTTTAAACTAAGACAATGTTTTATACATGACGATATGTGAAGAGTCTGGAAACTGGAGCTTACTCCCCTTTAAAGCAAAAATATTGTGCTTAGAAATTCTGATAAATGATTTATTCACATCGTGTTCTTTTATCGAACACACAGACTTCAGTCAAGACCTTGCCCCCGATAAAGTAAACTGCTACCTCCCAAACACCCTCTACGTGGAAGTGACGTCATCAAATCAGTCCCTGGTTCTCCACCTTGAGAAGAACCCAGACGTGGACCCCAACGCGGCCATATTTCTGCTAAACAGAGAAGCGGTGTTACTGAAGCATAGACTCCAGTATAGCCACGTACGTATACCACATGCGCCTGACGCTAAAATGTATGTTGTTTTACGCCGCACTCGGCATTATTGTACAAGCTATTTAAACAATGACGTCGGGCAACGATGCGATACAATGCATCAGACCCGATCTGAGGGTTCGTAGTCACTGGTCCTCCCTTATCCAATCACTACGAATCCTCGGCAGACATTGTGTCCAACCGATTCACGGTTTAGACGCCTCGTACAACTTACTTAGTGTTAATTCTTCCATGAAATGCCCAATGGTGGGCTTCTTTTAGCATTGAGTGAGTGAGTGAGTCAGCGAATGAGTATGGTTTTACACCCATTTTAGCAATATTCCAGCAACATCACGGCTGGGGGACACCAGAAATGGGCTTCACACTTTGTACCCATGTGTGGAATCGAACCTGGGTCATCGGCGTGACGAGCGAACGCTTTTACCACTGAGCAACCCCTATACCTCCTTAACATTAAGACCCGGGTGGATGCCGTGTCGAAACCATGTTAGAGACCGACATTAACTATTCTGGGGGTGTTGTTGGTGAGGGTAAGGGGTGGGAAATATGAAGGGCTTGGAGTTTCGAGACGGATTGCGTTTTGGGCATACAGGACATCTGGAAATCTGGACATACAATGTTTCTCAGTAAGCAGGTGTCAAACAAGGTTGGTTTTCGCCCCACAACACATTATTTTTCAAATACATCCATCGTGTTTAGTTAACGATGTATTTTATCGGGTAAAATCTGTCGGTCGGCCCCTCAGAATAGTTCCACAGTGAACGATGTTGAATAAGGCACCCGATGGCTTTCATCCTCGATTAGCCAGGGAATATGTTCATTCCAGTTTGATAAATACCCTGGGCCCATTCAATACCAACGGTTCGTTTTGAGTCCAGTTCAGATGTCACGACACTACACATAGCCGTCCAACCACATAGCACGGTATTGGTTAGAGGACTTTTGTATGGAAGAAGCGATGTCACAAGTACCCACTCGTGTTATTATGTACCACCTCAAATACAACTGGAACTCATGGTAGCATAAAGGTGAGGTGAAATGGGGTTTAACGTCGTGTCCAAGATTATTGCACTTATATAGCGACGTGCATGCACGTGTATGTGTGTGTGTGGCTGCTTGTACTAGTCCGGACTGATGCCGATTTATAGTGCTAGCTCACTGAGATACCATGCCGCAGTTTTAACATGAATACCCCACTCAGACACAGTATACTGACTCCGAGCCGACCAGTCCTTGTTTTAGCCCCTTAATGCCGAGCGCCAGACAGGGTAACAACAAGTACAATATTTTAACGTCTTTTTGTATGACGCGGCCGGGATCGAACCCCAGACCTTCCACTCTCCGGGCGGACGCTCTACCACAAGACCACGGAGGCGGTAGCATAAAGACTTCCGTCGCCCTGTCTTAATACATAAACTTAATTAAATGCGAGAAAATCCTTACCATAATCGGGGGGCATGGGTGGCCCAGTTGTCTAAGGCGCCGCGATTCGCTGTGCAGAGTTGCATCCCTAGGGCACGCCAGAAACCTATGATTGTGGGTTCGAATCCCAGTTCGCCCCGATTATGTTTCTAGGTTTGTCAGCACCATACCCGTGCTCGTGGGTTTCACCGAAGTGGTAAACGTCTGAGACCTGCATCACTTCGGGCTTTCCTCCCACATTAAGCTGACACGCCGTGATATAACTGGAATACTGTTAAAAGCGGCGTTAAACCCAACTCACTCACTCACTCACCTTACCATAATCCTTACAAGGCTGCAATTTGCGAATACAAGCGACAAAACCATCACCATAATCATAATCATCCATTGTACGATTCCGACATGTGTTTATGAATTACTATCAAATAATGATGACACAAGGTGTTCGTGGAAAGGTAAGCGTATCATGCTCCATCGGTGGTGTTAAGAACACGACATTTTGAGCTAGAAGTTCATTCTGATTCCTAGTAAATCCTTTATTTGAAATGTATGGAGGGTTCGCTTGAGGCTGCTCTCATGAATATAGATTTATGACGAATTTTGATTGGTTGTTGAGTTCAAGCGGAACAGGTACAGCTTTCCTGAGCTAGGCTAGCCTTACGGGATGTGAAATCGTGACGTCACTTCCGCATAATCATGATAATGAATGGAGATATAATGATCGAGTATAGACGGCGTGGGCGTCAATGTCAATGTCAATCTATTGTTTGTTGGGACCAGATTATTTATAGGCAGACCAGCCGGAAGATAGTGCGTCGTTAAACTTCACCAATTAACAAAATATAATAACACATCTTATCTATGATTATCATGTAATCTATGTATTTGAAAAAAGCGTGAACCAAACATGATTATGTTCCAAATTCCACTTGAGTTGCTTATATCAGCTCATCTTCACGTGCAGAATCGCGCCGAATACCAGGACAGGGAGCACATGGCGACGGTGGAAGTGACGTGCACGAACAATGAAGATGGCAACTCAACGCTGTCGCTGGTAACGTTATTCTTCGTTGTACAACTCATATCAGCTCACTGCGAGCAGCTCATTATATCATGTGCTATTCAATGATTGTTCACTTTCGATCAGGATGTATTATATTCCTTATTCTTGAAGAGCCAGTGAGTGAGTGAGTGAGTGAGTGAGTGAGTGAGTACAATCTACGCCCCCATTCAGTAGACAGTCTACACTGTGAGATTGACTGCTCACGGAAATATTGTATCACTGTAACAGTTAAATAGCTCAGTGTATGTTATGAATTTATTTCTATTTCCGACAGTGCACTAGTTACATATTCATTGTTTATCTTATCACAGAGAGGCCTCATTTCAATGCCGGACGGACGTATGTACACATTGGAACCAAGCACGAGATTCACGCGTGACGAAACGAGAACGACTGAAGATTTGCACAATGTCATCGACCGTTTCTGGCTCGACTATGCTGTTCTAGGTAAGTTTGGACGTTGTTCATAATATCAACCACTGGTTTGTCTGGCCCAGACACGATTATTTTCAGACCGCCGTCATATGGATGGAATATTGCTGAGTGCGGCGTTAAACAACCAACCAACTAACCAACCAAAGATTTTTTACAAGCTGTTTGTTTATGGTCGCCGCACTCAGTATCATTTCAGCTATGTGACTCGTCCAGTCGCCCACTTGTTTCAGATCATGTTACAGACATCCCTCCAGCAAACCCCCCGTGCCCCCAACCTGATGCTGCCACCCCCGGGGCCGCGCCGGACGTCCACCTTGACATCGTGGTCTTTGTTGACCACACCGTGTATCAGCGGTAAGGGGTTATGATTTTTGTGTTGCAAATTGTTTAACTGGGTGTTGTATTGAGGATCAACTATGACGAATATTACCAGTCGTCTAAGGCACCGCGATCCGCTGTGCAGAGTTGCGTCCCTTGGGCACGCCAGAAACCTATGATTGTGGGTTCGAATACCGGTTCGCCCCGATTATGTTTCTAGGTTTGTCAGCACCATACCCGCGCTCGTGGGTTTCACTGAAGTGGTAAACGGCTGAGACCTGCATCACTTCAGGCTTTCCCCCCACATTAGGCTGACACGCCGTTATATATCTGGAATACTGTTAAAAGCGGCGTTAAACCCAACTCACTCACTCACCACTCGAGTCGTTGCCACAGTGAGGATTTTATGCCCTTGTCAAAGTTATTTCTTTACTCTGTTGTCATAGTGAGTTTTCATGGTGAAGTTATTACACTGTTTGCATAGTTATTTTCACGCCGCTATCATGATGAGATTTTTGCGCCGTCGTCATAGTGAGGTTTTAATGCTGAGTAAGATTTGAATTAACGCCGTAGCCATTAGGACGCTGTTACGCCGCCTTTGGAGAAAGATACCGAAAAGCGTTTAATATACCCGAACCTTACTCTTATCACGGTTTCTTGGACAATCTAATATCAATATAACGACGTCTGATATAACGAAAGAGCGAGTGTAACGAAGCTGATCTTAAACCCTAGTGATAGCAAGTTTAAAGGATATGTTTATGTTATCGAGTAACCTGACTATATATATATTCGTGAGTGGCACAGCAGTCCATGAGATGAGATTCACATGTTATTTAAGGAAGAGAATATATGGATGTCAACGTTTTTATTACGCGAACACAATGTTTCGGAGTATATACTTACTCCTTCATGAGGTGAATGAATGCCATGAGGCAGAGATCATATATATATACATGTAAGGATAATAAAAGGTGGGAAAAAACATAGGGTAGAAACTAACAAGGGAAGCCAACAGATGATAGGTTTCTACCCTTTGTTATTTTCCACCTTTTGTGATCTTATTAATTTTGTTGTCCTTACATGTACATATATATGCTCTCTGCCTCATGGCATTCATTCACCTGATGAAGGAGTAAGTGTATATACTCCGAAACGTTGTGTTCCTCCTAACAAAGAAGTTGACATCCATATATTCTCTTCCTTGTGTGTATCACTTCTAAATGCCTTTCAAAGACCTCACATGTTATTTGACAAGAAACGGTTCAATGTTCTAATTACTTTGTATGTTCCTAATGATCACGATCTTCTTTTGAAAACTAAAGTGAGATAATTTGAAAGTAGTTCCGACATAAAGTGAAATTTAGATATCCATTATATATTTTTTGATAAATACTGTATTTCATAACAAAATACACAATCAATTTGGATAAATAAACCTCTGATATCGTCACAAAAATGTACGTCGGGAACCTGTTATTTGTTTTGTAGATGGTACAACAAGTCTACACGTTCAACGCCTGAGAAGAAAAGATTGGATACCATTGAGAACATCCGACGTCATTTCGGTCATCTGATGAACGCTGTAAGCAAGATCTACTACTACTACTACTACTACTATAACTGCAACTACTTCTACCATAACTACTAATACTGCTACTGCAACTGCAACTCCTGGTACTACTACTACTACTACTGCTACTATTACTACTACTACTACTACTACTGCAACTACTAAAACTTCTACTACTGCAACTGTTACTACTATTACTGCAACAACTACTACTCCTACTGCAACTACTACTTCTGCAACTGCTACAACTACTGCAACTACTACTACCATAACTACTAATACTGCTACTGTAACTGCTACTACTGCAGCTGCTACTACTACATCAACTGCTGCTACTACTACTACTGCAACTACTACTACTATAACTGCAACTACTTCTACCATAACTACTAATACTGCTACTGCAACTGCAACTACTGGTACTACTACTACTACTACTGCTACTATTGCTACTACTACTACTACTACTAAAACTACTAAAACTACTACTACTGCAACTGTTACTACTACTACTGCAACAACTATTACTTCTACTGCAACTACTACTTCTGCAACTGCTACAACTACTGCAACTACTACTACCATAACTACTAATACTGCTACTGTAACTGCTACTACTGCAGCTGCTACTACTACAGCAACTGCTGCTACTACTACTACTGCAACTACTACTACTACTGCAGCTACTGGTACTACTACTACTACTGCTACTATTACTACTACTACTACTACTAAAACTACTAAAACTACTACTACTGCAACTGTTACTACTACTACTGCAACAACTACTACTTCTACTGCAACTACTACTTCTGCAACTGCTACAACTACTGCAACTACTACTACCATAACTACTAATACTGCTACTGTAACTGCTACTACTGCAGCTGCTACTACTACAGCAACTGCTGCTACTACTACTACTGCAACTACTACTACTACTGCAACTACTGGTTCTACTACTACTACTGCTACTATTACTACTACTACTACTACTACTGCAACTACTAAAACTTCTACTACTGCAACTGTTACTACTATTACTGCAACAACTACTACTCCTACTGCAACTACTACTTCTGCAACTGCTACAACTACTGCAACTACTACTACCATAACTACTAATACTGCTACTGTAACTGCTACTACTGCAGCTGCTACTACTACATCAACTGCTGCTACTACTACTACTGCAACTACTACTACTATAACTGCAACTACTTCTACCATAACTACTAATACTGCTACTGCAACTGCAACTACTGGTACTACTACTACTACTACTGCTACTATTGCTACTACTACTACTACTACTACTAAAACTACTAAAACTACTACTACTGCAACTGTTACTACTACTACTGCAACAACTACTACTTCTACTGCAACTACTACTTCTGCAACTGCTACAACTACTGCAACTACTACTACCATAACTACTAATACTGCTACTGTAACTGCTACTACTGCAGCTGCTACTACTACAGCAACTGCTGCTACTACTACTACTGCAACTACTACTACTACTACTGCAACTACTGGTACTACTACTACTACTACTACTTCTACTACTACTGCTGCTGCTACTATTGCTACTACTACTACTACTACTACTACTACTCCAACTCAATAAATAAATTGCAAGTGATTCCGTGGGATTTAATTTGCTAACTAGGCCATTTTATTTTAACACAAATGTTGCGAAATAACGGACATTTGTTTCCTGAATCGCTGAAATTAGAAAAGGCGGGGCTTGTGTTGCGTTGAGCTGAACGATGTCACCGGTTTATGAGAATAGACTTTATGAAGTTATAAAGGAATAAACCGGTGTCCACACTAGGCCGTGTTTATACCTCCATGAACACACACAAATATTGAAGCTATTCAGAAATATTATTACTGTATTTAGATCTTGAATATTTAGAATTTATTAGAATTTATCAGACAACTATAATATGGCAGAAGTGGAGCAGCAATGTTTGAATGCATAAATAATTTGACCGATCAGTTAGTGTTTGCTTGACTTTCCTTCGTATTGTCACAGGTTGACCTCCGTTTCAAGATGGCGTCTCCCCGATTCCACGCCCACCTTGCTGGTTTCGTCATCGAGGTAACACGTGGAGGCGTCAGCCATTGTCAGTAATTAGTACATCTCACTATTACACCGACCCGTGAAGATCCGGGGTAGAATAGGTCTTCAGCAACCCATGCTTGCCGCAAGAGGCGACTATGCTTGTCGTAAAAGGCGACTAACGGGATCGGGTGGTCAGGCTCGCTTACTTGGTTGATGTTAATCACTGGATTGTCTGGTCCAGACTCGATTATTTACAGACCGCCGTCATATAGCTGGAATATTGCTGAGTGCGGCGTTAAACAACCAACCAACCAACAACCAACACTATTACACCATCGACACGTTTCATCCATGGACAAGCGAACTTACTAAGCGGGCCGGGCTCGATGTGAACTATGTGTGAAGTCCCCCGCCGCGATGTTGTTAAAATCGGCGTTAAATCCTCCTCATTCACTCACTTTTCTTGATAGACGGCGGGCCCAGGGGACAGGTCGCGGGAGGTGCCGGACCCACAGACACGGACAGAGGTCGAGGGCAGATGGCTGCTGGACAGCGCGTGGACATTGGTCAGCAGAACACCCGGGTTCCCCCCTAATGACCACGTCATTGTGTTTACTGAGTGAGTTTATTGTGTTTCAAACATATCCCACAAAGATTGTCACATCGTTCAGCGGAATCAGTTTATGGGAGATATAATTCACTTTGAAGATGACTATACACTGACACTTTTATTACACTAATCAAAAGAGACTAAGGACCATGTCATGACTGATTAACTATAGTGATATGAAAGAATCGGTTGTCGTTTGTTTCTTTTGAGAAGTATATGTATACTACGGTGGCCCATAAAGGTCATGGAGTCTGTTTTTCAATATTTTGATTTTTCCCTTACTGTTATCGTAACCTTTTGCAAATTAACACGATTTGTCATACGTGAAACGTGAGTTGAAAGCTTTGAGTTATTCTTTGTGGTGTACACCTGTGATCATCCGGGGTAGTATAGGTCTTCAGCAACCCTTGCTTGTCGTAAGAAACCACAATGCATGTCGTAAGCGGCGACTAACGTTAATGGGAGGTCAGGCTCGCTGCATTGGTTGATGCGTCTCATTGTATCCCAATTGCGTAGATCGATGCTCATGATGTCAATCCCTGGATTGTCTGGTCTAGACTCGATTACCTACAGACCGCCGTCATATTGCTGAGTGCGGCGTTAAACAACAAAGAAACAAACAAACTTTGTGGTGTAACTTGTTGTCAAGCCTTTAACATAAACACATCCAAAACGTTATCATGACTACTTACGGTTGCGACAGTTTTATTTCGAATTAATATTATTTTCTGTACATAATTATGGTATAGTTACCACATGTTTTGTTTTTTTCTTTCTAGAAGTGCCCTGTTTACGACCCAGGAGGGCATATACACGGACGTACTGGGTAAGCAAGGACGCTAGTTTTGTTATGGGACTGTGAGCTACAATCTGATTGATTGGTTACAGTCGTTAAATTCACCGCGTTAAAATCGTTAAATTCACTGCGTTAAAATCGTTAAATTCACTGCGTTAAAATCGTTAAATTCACTTCGTATGGATACGTTTTTCGTGATACTAGTATTTTTTCTCAATCCCAAATATGACACCCAAATACCGTTCGGCTTGGTTTAATGGATGCTCCATTAATTACATATTACGTTTGATAAATATTTATCAGAAAAAACTTTCTCCACATTCTGCTATCCAGGCGGGTTCAGGTGTCACGGAAGCATATGACGTGAGAAATTACTGATAATTGTTGTATTTAACAATGTTGCTAAACAGTATATGTTGACAGATTGGTAGGTGTTATTATGACGACGAATCCAAATGCCGGACAATGAATACACAATAAAACCCGAAAATCAGAAAACACATGATGTTTGTCTCCTGTGTGAATAAAAACGACAAAACCCTTTCCAGAATCACAAAAATATCTGTAAACAACACACTGTGCCATGGGGAGAGTGTTCGCTCGTCACGACCAAGGTCCGGGTTCTAATCCTTACAAGGGTACAACTTGTGAATACAAGCGTCAAAACCATTTCCATGATCATAAGAGTCCATTGTGCGATTCCGTCTATGTCATAAGCATGAATTATTATCAGATAGTGATTGTACCAGGTGTCCGCAGTACGGTGGGCGTATCCTGCCCCACCGGCGTCACGTCACAAACACATGCAAAGGCAAGTCCATTGTTCACCTGGAAACAAACACGGGAATATATGGTCCAGGTTCAAAAAGGGAATTGCATCAGACATAATTTTTGTCACCAATTTGAAATACCCTTCGCATGTCTTCCAGAATACTTTTTGAAAGTCTACAGAGGCCTTGAATATTTTGACCCGGTAATTTGAACCCTGTTACTCTTCCGACCAATTATAATTAGGAACGTCTACACATAAATAAAGGGACATAATGAATTTACTGTAAAAAAATGAAAGAAAATGGTCTGTAGGTTTATAGCCAACATGAAGGTACAGATCCTCTTGTGGTTAATTTCTATACCCCGTGTAACAAAAAAGGTTACATTGCTATGTAAATATTAAATGTCAATGCAAAAGATTAACCAGTCTTGATTATCCGCCGAAATATACTCCATTTGGCTTGAAGGGTAAAGCAACTGTGACAATGATATGAATGGACTGAAAATCAGTGATGACACCAGGTGTTCGCGAAAAGGGCTGGCCTTCCAGTCCAGTTTCTTCAGGTCGACGTTTAAATCAGTTAACTCCATTGTCCACAGAAGATGAGGATAAGCATATCCTGCCCTACCGGTGGCTCCCGCCATTTGCATAAATGTATTTATTGCCTGGCGCACACATGATGTTTCATCAGGCCAATCAGAACGGGGCAGTGGCGTCCGGATCAAAGAGGTTTCACTGCATTCCACAATGCTGAAACTGAAAAAAATATATGAACATTTAACATTTTAGCAACTAACTGATTGGTTATTATTGAAATACTGTTCAAACCGGCCTCAACCCAGCTCATTCACTATGACATCGTGCTCTTGGATGGTAATGTAACAATCACTCTGTACCACCCCTAGGCATCTCTTATAACGGCAGGATGTGTCATCCCTATGGCTACAGCATATCGCTGACCAGGTACCAAGACCGTCTTGTCGATGACGTCATTGCTGCTGCACATGAACTTGGACACAGGTAAAATACCAGTAGACTTGTATGGCATCTGAAAGGGGGGCGAGGCCCTCACCCATTGACACTCTAGCTCGTTTGAACTACGTAAATCAACAACTTCGTTGATTGTAGTTTTGACATGCTGATGGTGCCTACGTTTTTCTTCAATTCTTTTCTTAAAATCCATGGTATCCACCCTTCGCTTATGATTAATCTCTTGTCAAAGGAACTTGATTTACATGAACTAATTAATTAATGTGTGACTAGTTGCATTTCGTTGGTTAAGATCTGAAATCTCTTGCACGAGCGTTTTGTTTTCATAAGCAGAATGAGTCACGCTAACTGATCTGTATCCTATGTTTTATTACCCTGGAATAAACAACCTATGTTATATTACCCTGGAATAAACAACCTATGCTTTATTACCCTGGAATAAACAACCTATGTTATATTACCCTGGAATAAACAACCTTTGCTTTATTACCCTGGAATAAACAACCTATGTTATATTACCCTGGAATAAACAACCTATGCTTTATTACCCTGGAATAAACAACCTATGTTATATTACCCTGGAATAAACATCCTATGCTTTATTACCCTGGAATAAACAACCTATGCTTTATTACCCAGGAATAAACAACCTATGTTATATTACCCTGGAATAAACATCCTATGCTTTATTACCCTGGAATAAACAACCTATGTTTTATTACCCTGGAATAAACATCCTATGTTTTATTACCCTGGAATAAACATCCTTTGTTTTATTACCCTGGAATAAACATTCTTTGTTTTATTACCCTGGAATATACATCCTATGTTTTATTACCCTGGAATAAACAACCTATGTTTTATTACCCTGGATTGAACAAGCTATGTTTTATTACCCGTCTAGCCTTGGAGCACAACATGATGGCATTTCAAACAGCTGCTCGGCATCAGAGAACTACATCATGTCAGGGACACACGCTGCAGAGGCTCATGTGACACAGAACAACCAATACATTTTCTCTGAATGTTCAGTCAGGTCCTTCCAGAAACACGTGGCCCTACTGGAGGCCCGGGGGTAAGTGACACCACATCCTTATGGCCTCTCCCTCTGAAGGTCCGGTCATGATGTGGGACTGGCTCATACTTCAGCACTTGAGATATCATGTGGGATTCCGGTTCAGGACCCAAGTACCAAAATTCGTTTGAGTGAGTGAGTTGGGTTTAAAGCCGCTTTTAACATTATTCCAGTTATATCACGGCGTGTCAGCCTAATGTGGGAGGGAATCCCCAAGTGATGCAGGTCTCAGACGTTTACCACTTCGGTGAAACCCACGAGCACGAGTATGGTGCTGACAAACCTAGAAACATAATTGGGGCAAACCGGGATTCGAACCCACAATCATAGGGACGCATCTCTGCCTTAGACGACTGGGCCACCCGTGCCCCCAAAATTCGTTGACATCCATAAATTCTCTTCCTTACGTGTGTCCCTTCTAAATGCTATTCTAAGACATAACAGTACATTCATTCACGCAGATTTAGAAACATTTTGAAAATATAATAATCTGTTTCATATTTCTTAATACTTTTGTCCACATTATTTAAGCAGAAAATATTGAATAGCAATGCTTACAGCAACTTTTGTTAAGTGGCAGTTAACATTTTAAATCGAGGAGTACCCACCCAGGTGAGCTACAGTGCCCTGTCATACTTGTTCTTTAAAGCGACGGCAAGACCCTGTCCTGCTTGTACGAGACCATCCACCCTGGACCAGCGTCCTTCCTCCTCCCCGCCGCGCCTGGGCAGACCCACGATGTCCACAGACAGTGTCAGATGATATACTCCCCGAGCTCCTTCTTCTGTGTGAGTACACAACGAGTCCACGTCAAGATACGCCCCCTGCAACCCATGATGACTCCAGAGTAGCGTATCCCCGGGGGCAGATTAGTCACCATTCTGGGAAAGGACTGGATTATGTTGAAAAGGATTATAATGTTCCATAAAACAATGGATATTAATTTTCTTTACTAAAACATGTTATTGTACACTGGATGGGGGTGTTTGGAAATTTTTGGCCCACGACGTCTGCATTAATTCCGAATTGTGCAGAACCTTAGGAAATCATAAGCGTAGCGGTTATGAATATGTTTTTGTATTGAGGTAAATTCGTTAAATGTGTATGATATATTAAAAATACTTCATGGTCCCTCCCTTGTTATATAACAACACTATAGCATAGATGAGACTAGAATGTATTTATCGTGATCAGTATACAAGGAAGTTTATAATATTTGAACATGAGCAAGTCTTCACCCAAGCTGGAGCAAGTCTTCACCCAAGCTGAAGGAACGTCAACACAGATGTGCTTAAATATCATCCTGGGTCACAGACTTGCTCATAGTTAATTTTAAAAAAGGAATAACGTTTTTAATTCAAGTCCGAAGTGTAAGAAAGAAAACAGGATAGTCATCAGGTCTATGGTGATTAGTTGTCTCACGAATAGGGCCATGGATGGCTAAACTGTCTCAGGCGTATTAATTCGCCCTGAATTTGTTTCATGGTTTGTCAGCAACATCCCCGTGAACGGCCAAGGCCTCTATTACTTCCGGATTTGATCCGAGACCAAACTGACACGCCCTTTTATAGCTAAAATACTGTTCAAAGCGGCGATATACATAACACACACTCACTCACTCACTCACACAAACTTGACTATCCAATAGGCCGTACTAAGTCTTTATGATAATTCGTCCCTTGCCATTCCCCTTTCATTGAAGAAATCTTATATTCTTTGAAGCAGTGACAGGAGTGAGTATGGTTTTACACCGCTCTTAGCAATAATCCAGCAATATCACAGTAGGGGACACCAGAAATGAGCTTCCCACATTGTACCCATGTTCCCGACCGCCCCAGTGACAGGAAAGAAAACAAATTTGTCGCTTAAAAACATACTACCCACAAAAGAAGAACACCCATATGATTATAGTTAATCCATCATGACTGTGCGGTATTACAGCACAAAGCCTTACAACTGTGGATGGTTTTTTAAAATGTTTTGAGTAGTATATCCAAGCCCCTGCCGACGTCTATTAAATGGTCGCTTTCCTGATCCTCTTCTCTTCCCCCAGCATATCGACATAGGGGGCTCAGAAAACGTGTGCAGGAGGATGCCGTGCTACAACCCTCGGACTAGACGCTGCTCCCACCACCGAGCCAGGGACGGGACACCGTGCGGCAACAGGAAGGTAGGCGGGCTGGCTTCTAGTCTATCACTTCATTGTCTGGTTTCAAGGTAGGCGGGCTGGCTTCTGGTCCATCACTTCATTGTCTAGTTTCAAGGTAGGCGGGCTGGCTTCTGATCTATCACTTCATTGTCTAGTTTCAAGGTAGGCGGGCTGGCTTCTGGTCCATCACTTCATTGTCTGGTTTCAAGGTAGGCGGGCTGGCTTCTGGTCCATCACTTCATTGTCTGGTTTCAAGGTAGGCGGGCTGGCTTCTGGTCCATCACTTCATTGTCTGGTTTCAAGGTGGGCTGGCTTCTGGTCCATCACTTCATTGTCTGGTTTCAAGGTAGGCGGGCTGGCTTCTGGTCCATCACATCATTGTCTGGTTTCAAGGTGGGCTGGCTTCTGGTCTATCACTTCATTGTCTGGTTTCAAGGTAGGCGGGCTAGCTTCTGGTCTATCACTTCAGTGTCTGGTTTCAAGGTAGGCGGGCTGGCTTCTGGTCCATCACTTCATTGTCTAGTTTCAAGGTAGGCGGGCTGGCTTCTGGTCCATCACTTCATTGTCTAGTTTCAAGGTAGGCGGGCTGGCTTCTGGTCCATCACTTCATTGTCTGGTTTCAAGGAAGGCGGTCCTCTGGTCCATCACTTCATTGTCTGGTTTCAAGGTAGACTGGCTGGCTTACGGTCTATCACTTCATTGTCTTGTTTCAAGGTAGGCGGGCTGGCTTCTGGTCCATCACTTCATTGTCTGGTTTCAAGGAAGGCGGGCCTCTGGTCCATCACTTCATTGTCTGGTTTCAAGGTAGACTGGCTGGCTTACGGTCTATCACTTCATTGTCTTGTTTCAAGGTAGGCGGGCTGGCTTCTGGTCCATCACTTCATTGTCTGGTTTCAAGGTAGGCTGGCTAGCTTCTGGTCCATCACTTCATTGTCTTGTTTCAAGGTAGGCGGGCTGGCTTCTGGTCCATCACTTCATTGTCTAGTTTCAAGGTAGGCAGACTGGCTTCTGGTCTATCACTTCATTGTCTTGTTTCAAGGTAGGCGGGCTGGCTTCTGGTCAATCACTTCATTGTCTGGTTTCAAGGTAGGCAGACTGGCTTCTGGTCTATCACTTCGTTGTCTAGTTTCAAGGTAGGCGGGCTGGCTTCTGATCTATCAATTCATTGTCTAGTTTCAAGGTAGGCGGGCTGGCTTCTGGTCCATCACTTCATTGTCTGGTTTCAAGGAAGGCGGGCCTCTGGTCCATCACTTCATTGTCTTGTTTCAAGGTAGACTGGCTGGCTTACGGTCTATCACTTCATTGTCTTGTTTCAAGGTAGGCGGGCTGGCTTCTGGTCCATCACTTCATTGTCTGGTTTCAAGGTAGGCTGGCTAGCTTCTGGTCTATCACTTCATTGTCTAGTTTCAAGGTAGGCGGGATGGCTTCTGGTCCATCACTTCATTGTCTGGTTTCAAGGTAGGCTGGCTAGCTTCTGGTCTATCACTTCATTGTCTTGTTTCAAGGTAGGCGGGCTGGCTTCTGGTCAATCACTTCATTGTCTGGTTTCAAGGTAGGCAGACTGGCTTCTGGTCTATCACTTCATTGTCTAGTTTCAAGGTAGGCGGGCTGGCTTCTGATCTATCAATTCATTGTCTAGTTTCAAGGTAGGCGGGCTGGCTTCTAGTCTATCACTTCATTGTCTAGTTTCAAGGTAGGCGGGCTGGCTTCTGGTCTATCACTTCATTGTCTAGTTTCAAGGTAGGCTGACTGGCTTCTGGTCTATCACTTCAGTGTCTAGTTTCAAGGTAGGCTGACTGGCTTCTAGTCTAATACTTCATTGTCTGGTTTCAAGGTAAGCTGACTGGCTTCTGGTCTATCACTTCATTGTCTTGTTTCAAGGTAGGCGGGCTGGCTTCTGGTCAATCACTTCATTGTCTGGTTTCAAGGTAGGCAGACTGGCTTCTGGTCTATCACTTCATTGTCTAGTTTCAAGGTAGGCGGGCTGGCTTCTGATCTATCAATTCATTGTCTAGTTTCAAGGTAGGCGGGCTGGCTTCTAGTCTATCACTTCATTGTCTAGCTTCAAGGTAGGCGGGCTGGCTTCTGGTCTATCACTTCAGTGTCTAGTTTCAAGGTAGGCTGACTGGCTTCTAGTCTAATACTTCATTGTCTGGTTTCAAGGTAAGCTGACTGGCTTCTGGTCTATAATTTCATTGTCTGGTTTAAAGGTAGGCGGGCTGGCTTCAGTCCATCACTTCATTGTCTGGTTTCAAGGTAGACTGGCTGGCTTCTGGTCCATCACTTCATTGTCTTTACTTTTGTGTCTATGTATGATCCATTTATTAAGTTTCATCGCAACTTTACGACCCATGGAATCTTTTTTCGGCGGATCGAGACTGGTTGTTCTCCTTAGTATGCGCCATAAGCTAGAAGCCGTGAGTTGGGGTCACGTGTGGTCCAGTCGTCTGCGTCGCCGCAAGTCGCTTTGCAGAGTTATGTCCCTTAGGTTTGCCATGATCGTGGGTTTGAAACCCACATCTCCCCGATTATGTTTAAAGGTTTGTCAGCTCCATGCCCGTGCTCGTGGGTTTTTCACGCGGTAAGCGTCTGAGATCTGCATCACTTCGGGCTTTCCTCCCACATTAAGTTGACACGTCGTGACATAACTGGAAAACAGCGGAAAACGCCATGGAACAATCCGTAGCTCTGTCTAGCTACAAGTCAGTATCAAAACTGTTTAAAGGGAGTACGGTTACTTCAGCTACTGTTCAAGGTTTTGTTTTCAAACTTGGCAGGGAGGATTTTTATCCATGGCCATTTAAAAAAATTTAAAGTATGTCCATTTGAGCCTCATCATAAAATTATCACAACAGGATCAAAACATACAGTTCCGATGAAGAACTGAGCTTACATTTACCCCTGATGGTTTTGGTGTTGTTTACAGTGGTGCGTCGCCGGGTCGTGTGTACTTTCTACCGACGCCCCAGCAAAACAAGGTACGTAGTTTAACAGCAGATAGATAAAGTAATACGTAACTCAGCGGCCGATACGTAGGATGCAGTGGTACGATAGATGGAGTGGTACGTTAGACACAGTGGTACGTGAGACAGTGGTACGATAGATGCAGTGGTATTTTAGATGCAGTGGTACGTTAGATGCAGCGGTTCGTTAGACGCAGTGGTATTTTAGATGCAGTGGTACGTTAGATGCAGCGGTTCGTTAGATGCAGTGGTATTTTAGATGCAGTGGTACGTTAGATGCAGCGGTACGTTAGACACAGTGGTGCGTTAGACACAGTGGTACGTTAGATACAGTGGTACGTTAGACACAGTGGTACGTTAGATACAGTGATACGTTAGACGCAGTGGTACGATAGATGCAGTGGTACGTTAGATGCAGCGGTTCGTTAGACGCAGTGGTATTTTAGATGCAGTGGTACGTTAGATGCAGCGGTTCGTTAGATGCAGTGGTATTTTAGATGCAGTGGTACGTTAGATGCAGCGGTACGTTAGACACAGTGGTGCGTTAGACACAGTGGTACGTTAGATACAGTGGTACGTTAGACACAGTGGTACGTTAGATACAGTGATACGTTAGACGCAGTGGTACGTTAGACACGGTGGTGCGTTAGACACGTTGGTACGTTAGACACAGTGGTACGTTAGACACAGTGGTACTTTAGACACAGTGGTACTTAAGACGCAGTGGTACTTTAGATGCAGCGGTACGGTGCTACTGTCAATTAAACGTTCAACGAGAGCGCCTCCGTGGTCTAGTGGTAGAGCATCTGCCCTGAGAGCGGAAGGTCGGGGATTCGAGCCGTCATACCAAAAGACGTTGAAAGATGGTACTTGTTGTTACCCTGCCTTGCGCTCGATATGAACCTAGGACTGGTCGGCTCGGAGTCACAATAATATATAGGCTGGCACTATAAAATCGGCATTTGTCCGGACTAATACCAGCAGCCACACATACACGTTCATGCACGTCGCTGTATAAGTGCAATAATCTTTAACGCGACATTAAACCCCATTTCACCCCAATGCAGATATGTTAGATAGTAATAAATTAAATTGATAAGTTGAGGGGCAGATAAGACGATAGCATCGTGCGTAGTGCAACGTCAGATACACAAGATCAAATGGTGCGTAGTGCAACGACAGATACGTAAGATCAAATGGCGCGTAGTGCATCGTCAGATACGCAAGATCAAATCGCGCGTAGTGCAACGCCAGGTACGTAAGATCAAATGGCGCGTAGTGCAAAATGAGGTACGCCAGATTAAATGGCGCGTTGTGCAACGTCAGATACGTAAGATCAAATGGTGCGTAGTGCAACGTCAGATACGCAAGATCAAATGGTCCGTAGTGCAACGTCAGATACGTAAGATCAAATGGTCCGTAGTGCAACGTCAGATACGTAAGATCAAACGGTCCGTAGTGCAACGTCAGATACGCAAGATCAAATGATGCGTAGTGCAACGTCAGATTCGCAAGATCAAATGGTCCGTAGTGCAACGTCAGATACGTAAGATCAAATGGTGCGTAGTGCAACGTCAGATATGCAAGATCAAATGGCACGTAGTGCAACGCCAGGTACGTAAGATCAAATTGTGCGTAGTAAACAGCAGGTACGTTACCAGACAACTAACGCATATAAGAAATATCCATAAAGTATTAGTTAACCACGGCATTAAACAATTGACTCACAATGCACGAGTCCTGAATGACTTCAGTTCTTCTCCCCTTGCCAGCCGACTGTGTGTTTGGGAACCGCCCCGGGCCTGTGTACCAGGGACAAGACTGTGGCCAGACGTTAGGGAGTAAGAGATACCTGTGCTACAGTCAGCGCAACAGGCAGGTGTGCTGCGATACCTGTCTCAAGATGGCCACAGGGCCACCTGGTGAGTGCACGTGCGTCGCGTGTGAAGGAATATGTGAGTTGGGTCGAACAACATTTTAGTTATGTTATAACACGGCGTGGCAACTTCTTGAGGAGAAAAGCCCGAAGTGATGCAGATCCTGCAGATGTACTACTTTGTTGAAACCCACGAGCACGAGTATGGTGCTGACAACATGATAAAGGCGAATCTGAGATTCGAACCCGTGTTTTTGGCTCACCAAAGGAAGGTAAATCTTCAGAGTGAATTATGGGGCATTGCACAACTGGGCCATCCATACGTCAAAGAATGAGCATAAGCAAGTTTGGTTGAACGCAGTCTGAACAATATTTCGGTTATATCACGACCTGGAAAAGCCCAACGTGACGCATCTTCGATGATCCGGGGTAATATATCTCCATTCTATCATGATACAGACCCTGGATCCATTTAGTACCATAGCGTCGTTGTGAGCCCGATTCGATTAGCAAAACGACTTTTCAAATTATTCTCACGAGCAAGAGAAATTCTTTGCTAAGTTAGACATAGGGGCTATGGAGGTAGTGACGTCACTTCCGAAACGAAGCTCGGTAACCAAGGGGTCGAGGGTATTTATCAGAATAGAATGGAGAGTAATGGCGCGGATAGTCGAGGGTCGACTGTGGCCCAGGTCGTTTGAGTGAGTGAGTGAGTTTAACGGCGTGTCGTGCAACTCTGCACAGCGATGTGCGGTGCCTTAGACGACTGGCCCACCCGTACCCCTACAGGTCGTTCGAAGCCCTCGCTGACTTGTTTTATACATGTTATCGGTCCCAATTGCGTGGATCGATGCTCATGATATTAATCACTGGATTGTCTGGTCCAGACTCGATTATTTACAGACCGCCGTTATATAGCTGGAATATTGCTGAGTGCGGCGTTAAACGACAAACAAACCAACCAACGTTCGTAGCCGGGTGGGATGGGTGTGTTAGTCTAAGAAAATCAGCTTTGTCACTCGAGGAATATGACTGTTGTATTTTATGACTAAACTACGAGTTTTTATCTGATCTGAAGATGCACGTAATAACAAAAAATCAGTCACTCCGATACCACATATTACCCCCTTTTCTAAATTCAGGTTGCGAATACGGCAACAACTACTGGAATATTTCATCTTGTAGTCCAGAACGATGCGGCGAACCCGGAAGTCAGTACTCCCGACTGTGTTGTGACACGTGTCAAACTGCTCCAGCAACACCGGACCTACAAACATCATCATCGACAACATATACTCCGTTTGTCAAGGGTACCGGTGGAACTCAATCGACTTCTTCAAATAAGACTACAGTCGACGAGAATACACCATCGGTACGACCTGCGTCACCAGTGAATGTCACTGAAGGCTCGGCCCAAGAGACGTCATCATTTATCACCGGCATGTACGACGCTTCAGCAACGGCTTCTTCGTCTGCAGTGTATTCTACAACTGCAGAAGGTTCGTCTACAGAACCAAAGTTCAATATTTCAGGTATTAAAACGATTCTTTCAAAGTCGAATGTTGTTGAAACAACGTCAATGGTCACCAAGCGAACATATGAATCATTGATTGAAGCGAGAGTAAAAACATCGGAGCACGCTTTGACAACCGAACCATCAAAAACTTCTATCACAGAAAGCGCAGCTGAAGAGTCGTCAACACCTTTCCTTCCGGCAGCTACCACGGCTTCATCTGCAACGTCAGTGACAACGAACGAACCTCCAAAATCGACATCTACACGTTTTCTGAACGATTCACCTGCTGACGTGTTATCCGTGGACAATATAGGGGAGCGTGGGCAGGCCCAGGTGGACATGTCGTGTGAGTATTGCTCGCCATGTTGGCAGAAAGGAATTTGTGTATTTGTTGTTTAACACAACTCGGCAGCGTGGAGTTCGAGTTACCTTTAACGTCGCTCTGAACAATATTCCAGTTACATCACGGCGTGTCAGATTGATGTGGGGGTGGAGGGGGGGATGTGCCAAAGTACATCCGTAAAAATGTCAAAATACTATAGTAAATCTGTCATGTCATGTCATGTCATGACAGATTAAATATCGTCATATAAAACACCGGGTGTTCTTCAACTTCGTTTGAATCGTACAGTACTTTTGTTTACTGTTGGCTTGTACAAACTTGATGCAGATCATGCAGAAAAAATACGAATCAAATAAAAGACGGACATACACTGATAATTTTAAATTATGTATTTCAAATTGTTTATCAGTAGTGGTTCAGTATCTGAACGTATAGTTCTTTAATGTAAAAAGAAATTTACATGATGTAAAATAATCACGTGAGTTCAAGTTGTCAACCAAAATCTCTTGCTTCATTCCGCTTGTAGTTTCAAGTTTTACATGCACATGTCTATTCGGAACTACTCGTCTCTCTCCGTGACCGTGCTAACATGTCATGTTCGCGTCACAAGGCTGCATTTTTGATTTTTTAGTATTTGGTGCTTGTGCCAGCGGTGAAGGCTTACATGGAAGTACGGATCTATCCTGCACTGCTGAAACTACCCAGACGCCTACAAAGTGTTACGACATCGCCTACTACAACAGGTGTTGCACAGCGTGTCGTGTATTTCACAGCAACGTCACAGGTGAGACAAATATATTTGACTGCATATAAAAAAATATTATCGGACACATGTTCCACAAAAGTGAGGAGGGAGGTAGGATTTAGTGATCATGGAGCACCCCGAATACCAGCAAACATGTCTTATAATGAAGATTTTCAATACAGTGGTAGAGCGTCCGCCCGGAGAGCGGAAGGTCCGGGGTTCGACCCCCGGCCGCGTCATACCAAAAGACGTTAAAAGATGGTACTTGTTGTTACCCTGTCTGGCGCTCGGCATTAAGGGGCAAAAACAAGGACTGGTCGGCTCGGAGTCGGTATACTGTGTCTGAGTGGGGTATTCATGTTAAACTGCGGCATGGTATCTCAGTGTGCTGGCACTATAAATCGGCATCAGTCCAGACTAGTACAATCAGCCACAC